TTCAAGCTGTAATCATGTTAACTTCTGAAAAAGGAAAATCCGGCTCTATGTTAACCCATTCGATAAATATTTATTGTCTCATCTCAATAAATTTGCTTCAAAATATTGCCTCGACTGCTGCAAATCATGGAAATTAGAATAAATTTATGAACAATAGCGTATATTACGGTGGACCACAGGTGATAATTATCAGTACAACTAAACTTACTTCGGTTATACGGTTATTGTAATTGCACGTTTACCTTATTTTTTTTAATATACCTGCTTGAAAAGCGCGAGTATATACAGCATTATATAGTGATGGGGTGTCCGTCACTTTGGACTTTCCGTATGGCATGACGATCTCGACACGAAATCTGTTGGTTTTTTATATCCTATAAATTCTCAAATCGCCTGATTGACTATATAAGTCCCACCTTCTAACTGTAAGAAGCGCCCTCATTGGTTCTTTGCTTCTCGTCAGAGTTTCCAGGATCTTCTAACAGATATATTAATTCTGTATATTTTACACGTGAAAATAATGCGTTCAGTGTCAGTTTTAAATTCTCGTCCTACGTAAATTAATCAACACTAAAAATTATTTTATCTTGGCAAACTATATTGCACTGTCTCAAACTTTGCAAGTTATCTTGGAAACGTGATATTTTAGACGGCTATTGGTACATGTAGATGGACGGATAGTCGGTGGGGGGGGGGGGGGGAACAAAAATAGAAAGGTTGTGCTGTGAGATTTCTTTAAATGTATCATATACCAAGACTCTAATCAGGCATGGTAAAAGCTATCGCACATAACCATTTTACCATTTTAATCTGTTATTTTTTGATTGAATAAGTCTTATCTGATCAATTATTTTTAATACTCCATATGGATTTGTAATAAGGAAAAAAATCAGCTATTAAAATTTTTTGACAATTGCCTCTCTTATTAACTCAATAAAACAAATACAAGGTATAACAAAATGTAATAAAATTTATCGAAGAATTTCCATGGAAGCTACATTCGATATATAAATGATATAGCCTCTCATGAATTCTTTCAAATTAAAGCAAATTGTCTTTGGAATGTTTGTAATCTATTCAATAAAGCATGTATTCGCCGCCAAAATACTGCTGAAATTTTGCCGACTCGGTATTTAACAATAACAATCAATCGTTTTATTTTAAAAAAATATTTATTTGATTTTTGGTGGCAGATTTTTACAGAAGCCCCCCCCCCCCCCGTTTTTTTTTTAATATAAAAATGCCACCTGGTCTGTGTTATTTCATGTAGCCTATGTTTTGGAAAGTATCTGATTCCCTATTAAAATTTACACATTTTAACTTATGCAGGATCCCAATATGTTTCCAATATGCAATTAAAGTGTCCTCAAACGAAGAACTGTTCATTGCCACCGGTAAAAACATTAAGAATTTATGTCATTAAAATACGAATACCTAGGGAATACTTCTTTAAATTATGATTAACAACACGTTAGAAGCAGTAGTTTCAACAATGCAATTTTGCATTTTTGTTTCTCTAATTTCGTATAGTTATGAAATTTAATTCAAGGTAACATTTTACACTTTCAACAGGCACGTTTCTGTGTTAATGAAAAGATGGGTAAGTGGTAACTGAAAAAAAAAAGTTCGAAGCTAACCCCCCCCCCCCTCTTCTACCCGCACGAAATAGGATTTTCAGGTTTGGACAATGGTCAAATTCTCCTCTTTTTTTGACAAGTTTTTTTCAGGTTGAATTTTTTCCTTTGAATTAGCCACCCCCTTTTTTCCAATTTGCTTCCGACGCCGTTGAATCATTCTTTCCTGAATTTACAAGTTTACCATGCATTAACATTTGTACTAAGTCAATATCGGTAAGACTCAATATAAACCTCTTTTTATTTGTTTGTTTTCAATATTCCATTAAATTAATGGTTTACCCATATTCCATACACATCTCAGTTTATACTTGTTTTTTTAATCATGACTTAATTTTCCAGAAACGTTACAACCCTGTTGCGCTTCCGTACTTCTTCGCGTCAACCAAAGATCAAATATTTAAGCAAATATCATGGGTTTCTAAAGAACATTATTTTTAAATTTTGTACAAGAATGGAAAGCTAAGACCCTAACGAATATAATTTGGATATCTGTACATATTTTATATGCTTCAAAAACCATATATGACTGTAAATCTTGAAACCTTCGCTAAAAATGCACGATTTACACGTGGATTTCAGCATCTTATTCTCACACGCAGCAGTGATTGTCTTAAATTTCTGGCCAATATTGTCAGTTTTTTGTAATAAATTCACGCTTCAATGCAGCTTTCTCCCGGATTTTCAATACGCACGAGATTTTTGATTATTTTATAACGAAAACAACAAAATTCCCGTTTATGGTAATGTTTTTTCTTTCGCTAAAGAGGGATAATCGCGATTTAGCGAGATGATCTCGCTAAAGGGGATGTGTTCCCAACCTGTTCAAAATGCTACGTCTCCTACAGGTATAGTCTGATTTCAATATAACTTGGCACACAAGTAAGCAACAGTAAGTAAATAATTCAGTTTATCGGTTTTTGATTTCGATGAACGGTGTTTCCGTGGTAACTAAAAATAGAATTTCTGTGCAATTCTTTAAAAATGCTACTACTCCTACAATTTTGGTCTGATTTCAATATAACTTGGCACACAAGTAAGCAACATTAAGGTAGATAATGCTGTTCATCGGTTTTTGATTTCGATGAACGGTGTTGCCGTGGTTTAAAAATAGAAATTTCTGTGAAATACTCTCAAAATGCTACTCTAAATACAGTTTTAGTCTGATTATAATATAATGTAGCATGCTAGTAGACTACACTAAGAACATAAAGAGACTTAATCAAGGATCATTAATCTATTTATTGCTGTTGTAAAGTTTCAATTCCCAACTGCTTTTACTTTTAACTTCCTTTGCTATAAGTACAAACCAGTAGAGCTTCAGTCTCGACAGAGACTTCTGGGGTTGTTTTTTTTTTTAGCTCTACTGGTCAGAGACCAGAAGAGCTTATTCGATAGTAATGCGTCCGGCGTCCGTTCGTCTGTCTGTCTGTCTGTAAACAATTTTTCAAAACGCTACTCCTCCTACAGTCTTGGTCAGATTTCAATATAAGTTGGCACACAAGTAGACAACACTAAGATACATAATTCTGTGTATTGGTTTTTGATTTTGATGAACAGTGTTCCCGTTGTTACTAAAAATAGAAATTTATTTGTGATACTTTTAAAATGCTACTCCTCCTACAGTTTTGGTTTGATTTCAACACAACTTGGTACACAAGTAGACTACACTAAGATACATCATTCTATTTATCGGTTTTTGATTTTGATGAACGGTGTTGCCGTGGTTACTAAAAATAGAAATTTCAATTTAATGCTTTCAAAATGCTACTCCTTCTACACTTTTGGTCTGATTTCAACATAACTTGGCACACAAGTAGACTACACTATGATGCATAATTCTGTAAATCGGTTTTTGATTTCGATGAATGGTGTTGCCGTGGTTACTAAAAATAGAAATTTCTTTGAAATACTTTTAAATGCTACTTTCTCTTCCTCTGTTATAAGTACAAACCAGTAGAGCTACAGTCTCGACAGAGACTGCTGGTTTCAATTGATGATGTCTTCAACCACATTCTGAACCTCTTGATTAATGTCAATACTTGGTTCTGGTATTAGAACGCCCGAATCGGAGGTGTCAGATCATTTCTCTCTAAAAAATTTTCTCTCCCAGGTTATTTCTCTCCCACCATTTCACGGTGGGTCATTTCTCTCTGCTACCTAGGTCATTTCACCCCATTTTTTATCTAGTCTTACATAATTATTTACAACTCCATTTTTTGTGTTATTAACTCGTATCTGGTCAATCAAATTAATTTTATTAATTTATGACTTATAAAAACTATACAAGAGGAAGTCTGCCGGTATGTTATTCACAGGAAAAATAATTTTATTATTTTGTAAAAAAAAAAAAAAATAATAATAAAAAAAAAATAAATAAATAAATAAAGAAATTGATACCGTTGTCCAGCCCTTGCCACGTGGAGGCCTCCTCATTAAGGGCCATAATTTTGAAAGAAAAATTTAAGGCCAAATTAAAAAAATTTAATAAAATGATTTTTTATCTAATCTAATATAATTACATACAACACTGTTTTGTGTTATTTACTCGTATCTGGTCAATCAAATTAATTTTATTAATTCATGACTTATAAAAACTTTACGAGAGGAAGTCTGCCGGTATCTTATTTACAGGAAAAATAATTTATTTTGTTAAAAAAATAGATACCGTTGCCCAGCCCTTGCCACGTGGAGGCCTCCTCGTTAAGGGCCATAATTTTGAAAGAAAAATTTAAAGCCAAATAAATTTAATAAAATGATAAATTTATGCCTTAGCTAATAATGAAATTTTGTTTATGAAAAGAATATTATTATAGAAAACGAAGAAAGTCGAAACTAAAGAAAATTTATTTGTTTTTATTAAATTAAAAATTTACTTTTACCGATTGATTTCATAATGTTCAGCGTTACAACTATGTACGAATAAAAAATAAAACGGATTCAAATTACATTCTGTCACTCTAGATCTTACGACAAAAAGGGAGAAAATGAACATAAAGTAAAATATGTTTTTGTAGTGAAATGGTACCTGTATATCTAGAAACCATGTATGTAAATATTTACGAAGTTTTACGTTTTTGTACAAATTTTAATTAAAGCCAAAAAAGTTAAGAACGCGAAGAAAACAAAAATCTAGGGGGAAAATGCTATCAATGAAAAAAAAACCCTGAAATGTAACATTTACATATATACAAAAGAATATGGCATGTACAAACATCAATATTCCAAAAATTAACACGAATTTAACACCGAAAAAAAAACAGATTATCGAAAATTACTCCGTGTGGCCTTAAACACCTCCACAAATTCGCAGGAAATGGCTTGCAGTGATCATCTCATCGTCATAGTCCAACCAAGCTTGCCGAATTTTCTTCTCCACCCTTGTGCTAGTTATTCTGGCATCACGAGACAGGTCCTGTGCGGAAACCTGGACGTGCACAATTTCAGCCTCCTTCTGCAGCAGAGGAATCAAGCGGTAGAACCCAATGTTTCCATGCCCGGCTTTGCCATTGAGACGATTGTGCCATCCTTGGTAATTTTTAAAGAATAAGCATGCCAATAATATTAAAGGGGGGAGGAGGTTACCGATAAATATTGAAGGCACATATAAGAAAAAAAATTACCTTCGGTATCGTTGTTGGTACGAATCTCCTGTTTGTAGATGGATCAGGCTGGAATAGGGAATACAGCGTTGTTAATCCACTGTCTTTCCATGTAGTCTGTGAGGGACTTTAGAGAGGAAGATTCCTGAACCTTTTCTTGCATTGCCCGGAATGTGGGGTTGATGTCATTTGAAGGCAGAAATGGAAGGGCCATTAACTGCTTGATGAACCAGTGAGTTGCCTTTTTCTCACGATAGGTGGCAGCTAGTCCAAGTTCCTGCACGCGTCTCCATAATGCCTGTGTCCAATGGAAGACACACCCACGGATTGAAATGCCGGGTAATACTTCTCGAATGGACTGCCAAGCCGCTAACAAAGGCATATTGATATTCATAATTTAACTTACAAGTATATTCCTGAATTTTTTTTATTAATACAGGTACACTAAAGTACTATTTTTGTTTGCGTAATGAGAATAGGAAAATGAAAATACCCTTTTCAAAGTACAGCAAAATTTCCTCAACAACGGGTTCATCTAGCCGTTCTAATATGGCTTGCAAAACCTAAAGGAACAGGAAAATCGAAATTATTTCTCTGATTTGCCATTTTACAGGAATAGTTTTATGCATTTTGTCACTTTACTTGTGCCTCACCATCATATAGTCTTCCTTCTTTCTCCTTGACATAAGGGCAAATAACAAAGGAAACTGTTTCTTTTGGCCGCACTGTTGCACAAAAGCGTGTACATTTGTATTGACAGCAGCTGGCCCGTCTTATGGAAAACTTTGGGTACAACCTAGCATGTAAAACACACCCGTCCATGTTTGTTTTAAACTTAAATCTGGTAAATTATAATATTTAGTGTATTTATATTAATATAAATTGCATTGACAATGCCTCTAGTATTGGGGTACTTTCATTAAATATAATAAATGTACATGTATATTAACCTTAAAAGTGCAGTCCATATACCAGCGCCTAGCGTCCTTCAGCACAGGGATTAGTTGGAAAGGGGAACTGAATATTATGTAACTTTGTCCATCTGTATTGATGTCGGCGACAAGGAAGTTCTTCGCACTGGAGGAAGTCAAGGTCCATCGAAAAAGTAGCATGATGTGTGTGACATGTGGATAGGGGCTAATTCTCCGAGAAAAGGGGGGAAATGTCACTAATTAATATACCTGGAAATTAAGATTCACTGGTTCCTCGGGACAGAACTTGCTTCTGAATCGATTTGCCACTCTCTTAATCAGATGGAGATTTGGTGCAAGGAATCTAGTTTCCTCATTGAAATGGTTCGTTACTGTCCCCTCGGCTATTGACATTGCTGACTGGAACACATTATCTCTCGCGGACTGTTCCACCTTAATTTATAAGTTTTAAAATTGGCAGTTTACTTGAATTTTGTGTAACGTTCATATTCTACAATTTCTCGCCAGAAGGTATTGCAGTGAATGTGATTTTTTAGTGAAATAAAAAATGGCAAAATTTTTATTTATATAATCTGTCTGAATACATCCATGTACAATACACAAAGTTGACATTTTCTGTCACTAAGTCAAAACGATTAATATAATTGTGGTGTCAATCTGTGAAATTGACAATTTACGGATAAACATATGTACCCAGCATGTATGTGTATAAACACCGTGTAAGGTACCATAAAACGGTCAGACAGCAATTACGAAATCTAACAATTATATATTTAATTCTGATAAAGGTCATAAACGAATGATGACAGGACAATAAACAAACTTAAAGACTTCTATTTAATTTAAATCTTAAAACTAAAAAAAAAACAAAACAAGAGGCCCATGGGCCACATCGCTCACCTGAGCACTGTGGCTAGGAAAAAGTAGAAATTGGTTTAGTATTAAAAAGTTTAAACCCAAAAGTAGTCCCATGACCAATCATGGTTTTGCTATTCTTGAGAAGAAGATTTTTAAAGAATTTTCCTATATATTTCTATGTGAAACTTTGGTTGGCCATTTTGGCCCCACCCTACCCCTGGGGGTCACGATTTGAACAAATTTTAATCTACACTACTGTAGGATGCTTCCATATAAATATGATCAATTATGGCTTTGTTATTCTTGAGAAGAAGATTTTTAAAGAATTTTCCTATATATTTCTATGTAAAATTTTGGTCGGCCATTGTGGCCCCGCCCTACCCCCGGGGGTCATGATTTGAACAAACTTGTATCTACACTACCTGAAGATGCTTCCATATAAGTTTCATCCTTCCTGGCACAGTGGTTCTTAAGAAGATTTTTGAAGAATTTTCCTATATATTTTTATGTAAAACTTCGGTCGGCCATTGTTGCCCCGCCCTACCCCCAGGGGTCATGATTTGAACAAACTTGAATGTACACTACCTGAGGATGCTTCAATATAAATATGATCAATTATGACTTTGTTTTTCTTGAGAAGAAGATTTTTAAAGATTTCTCCTATATATTTCTATGTAAAACTTTGGTCGGCCATTGTGGCCCTGCCCTACCCCCGGGAGTCATGATTTGGACACATTTGAATTTACACTACCTGAGGATGCTTCTATATAAGTTTCATCCTTCCTGGCACAGTGGTTCTTGAGAAGAAGATTTTTAAAGAATTTTCCTATATATTTCTATGTAAAACTTTGGTCGGCCATTGTGGCCCCGCCCTACCCCAGGGGTCATGATTTAAACAAACTTGAATTTACACTACTTGAGAATGCTTCCATATAAGTTTCATTCTTCCTGGCACAGTGGTTCTTGAGAAGAAGATTTTTAAAGATTATTCCTATATATTTCTATGTAAAACGTTGGTCAGCCATTGTGGCCCAACCCTACCCCCGGGGGTCATGATTTGAACAAACTTGAATCTACACTACCTGAGGATGCTTCCATATAAGTTTCATCTTTCCTGACACAGTGGTTCTTGAGAAGATTTTTAAAGAATATTCCTATATATTTCTATGTAAAACTTTGGTTGGCCATTGTGGCCCCGCCCTACCCCCGGGGGTCATGATTTGAACAAACTTGAATCTACACTACCTGAGGATGCTTCCATATAAATATGATCAATTATGGCTTTGTTATTCTTGAGAAGAAGATTTTTAAAGAATTTTTCTATATATTTCTATGTAAAACTTTGGTCAGCCATTGTGGCCCCGCCCTACCCCCAGGGGTCATGATTTGAACAAACTTGAATCAACACTACCTGAGGATGCTTCCATATAAGTTTCATCTTTCCTGGCACAGTGGTTCTTGAGAAGAAGATTTTTAAAGCCTGCCACCAAATTTTTATTAATTCCCAATTATCTCCCCTTGAATGAGGGCGTGGCCCTTCATTTGAACAAACTTGAATCCCCTTCACCCAAGGATGCTTTGTGGCAAGTTTGGTTGAAATTGGCCCAGCGGTTCTTGAGAAGTAGTCGAAAATGTGAAAAGTTTACAGACAGACAGACAGACAGACGGACGGACAGACGGACTACAGACAAAATGTGATCAGAAAATCTCACTTGAGCCTTCGGCTCAGGTGAGCTAAAAATTAATAAATAAATAAAATAAATAAATAAAAATCGCATCGCATTTCAATGTTAGTTATTTTATATTCCATTAGAAAGAAAGAAAGAAAAAGAAAATAAATGAATACGTTAATTGATAAATAATTAATTAATCAAAAATATGAATTTAGGAACGAATTAAAGAATACTTTAAACAACAACAAAAAAAAATTTACAAACAAATAAATGAATAAATGAATTCATAAATGCATTACTTTAATTTACGGAAGAAAATCAATACCCATGCATGCTTTTATTTGCGAGAGGTGGTTTAATTTTTATTTTATAAAGGATAAAAAACCTTTTTCACCATTCATTGCAATCTCTTTGGAACTCTTTTAAAAACTGAGAATTCCATCTTGAAATTGTTAAATAAATGAAACGACATTAAGATTTGCCGTGGAATATATATCGGCAAATATTTACAACACCATGTTGAAATCGACCATTAAATTTATAGTTAAGACCTAGTGAATACTGGTAAATTTGTAAACAACATAAAAAAGGAATGTGTTAGTTGAATGACTGAAATAAATAAATAATTAATTAATAAATATATAATTAAATAAATAAATTAATTAAAAAAATATAAATAAATAAAAATAAATAAATAAAATAACAGTAAAGGATGCATGTTAAACGTTAAGTTCAATAATTATGATAACAATAGAACTTGTTATAATTACATTTATTATACTAGTATAAGTCAAACAATTTTCATGTTGGAGTGAAATGACCTGGGTTGTGGAGAGAAATGACCTGGGTAATGGAGGGAAATGACCTAGAAGAGAAATGACCTAGGCGGAGCAGGTACTGGGGAGAAATGACCCGGATTCGAATCGGACAGACCGTCAGTTGGGCCAGGTTGAAACTGCAATGGAGCTGGGCCTTGGTCATCATTTTTGCTCTCCAATGTGTCGATTTCAAGTTTGAAGATCAAGTGGGCTGTCAAAGGGAAGTTAATTTAGCCTATCATTGTTTATGATGACATTTGAGTATGCTGGGTTATTGTTCTTGAGCCAGATGAGAGCATTTTGAACAATAAACCTCCTTAAACGATAATCCATACAACTGTCACCTTTGCCCTTTCTTCGAACTTTAAGAATATTCATTTCTGAGGGAAATTTGGGCAGAAGTTGTGCAGGTTCCTTTATTTGCTTTGGGAATGTTACACAGTGACCATTTGCAGTGATACCCCCATGTTTAAGCATATGAATATTGATAGCAGGGGATATCCTACTAATTAGTTGTTCAAAGGGGGGGGGGGTAGGAATATCATTTAATATTGGATACCTAAATTTTCTTGGACTCTTTGAATTTGACGAAAGTATTTCTTTCTTCTTAAGATTTTTGGAGATTTTACTCTGGAGGCCCAGGGTCATAGTGAAATCCAAGTTTTCTGTTCTAAGTACAGGTCTGCAGTACTGGTGTCATATATTTTTGAATGTTTTACTTTGTTCTTATCTGTTTTTGACTTGGCATTTAGATTTTAATCTAAACTAAATGAATTTTCTTAAAAAATCATGTACCTTTGCTACTGGATTGCTGTTCAAGGCAATCTGTAACCTGGTTAGCACACGTTTTCATTGTTGTGGTAGGAACATCATTCACGTAATTATCACCAAGTGTAAATGTGTTTGTCTTTTGTTTTTATTTGTATAAGCTTGATGTTTGTTCCTAATATCATTTGGAATATGAATTCTCCCATCTGCATTGCTAGGCCTGCAAGATGTTTCATGTGTAGTGGGGGATGAGATTTTTGATTTTGTGATGAACTTGGAAATGACACAATTTTTAAGCAGAAGAAAGATGGATTTTCCCCCTGCAATTTCAACAACTGATTCATAAGACTCCAGTGTAAAAGTACTTTGATTACCAGTAACAATGATGACAGGATACACGTTGCAGGTACACATTGATTTTTACATTAAATAATAATGCTGCAATCATCATCTCAGCAGCTGTAGCGAAGCCACTACCTAAAACCATTTTTTTCAAAGTTTTTTGTGTGCATGCATTTGTCATGCATCAGCTGTTTCTTTGTACATTTCCCAGTTTTCATACAGATGACCACAGATGATAATTCTGTAATTTGTGTATCGTTCATGTGACCATGAAGTATCAAACTCAAACAATGAAAAAAATAGCAGTGACCATCACCTGGGACATCAAAGACCTTGAATTCAGTGTTG